CCCCGGCCCTGCCCTCCCAGGGGTGCCCGGAGCTGCCAGTCAGTCCCAGGGACACGCGTGATGTGTTGGGTTGCAGGAAGTGTCACACAGGCCCAGGCTCCTGGGCGCCCCAGATGGGCCAGGACCTTGAGTCTGTCCCTATGCGCCAGCCGCATGCCCTCCCACTCCAAATGCAGGATGAGCAGTGGGAACTGGGGCTCGGGAGACAGGCGGCTCATCCCGGGCACCCCGCCATCTGTCACGTCCGGACAGGACAGAGGGCCCCCGCTGACGCTGTCGGACGGGACGGCCCTGGCAAGGTCCTTCGAGTCTCGTGGCTGGGGGACTGCTGTCTCATAGCCCAGACAACCCCCACCGGTCCCCCAGTGGGAATCCTTGGAGGAGTCGCCAAGGCTGCCGGGCGGGCGAGCAGAGGAGCGAGGCTCCGCGGTGGAGCCGGCACATTTGACATCTCGTTCTGAGTCCAGCTGAGGAGCCTGAACTCTGCTGGCTCTGGAGCAGACCTGCTGTCCCCGTGCCATAGGAGGGCCCGCCGGGCCCAGCACTGCCCGCAGGCACCGCCAGGGGTCAGCTGGGCAGGCGTGCGCCCTGGTCTCCCCACTGCCTGGGCTGAACCGGGGCTCTGTTTGGCGCAGAGATGGGGTGACTCCGGAGGGCCTCTCAGTTCTCCAAGATGCCCTAGGGGCAGATGACGCAGGGAGTATGGCTTTGGGAGCCTTGAGTCCAGGCCCCTCCTGTGTGCCCACCAGCTCCCAAAGTTGGAGCTGCTGCGTGGGGCCGGTCCCTGCAGGGCCCTTCCTGGGGGAGAGGCAGGGCTCCCGGCTGCAGGCTCGGCCCCAGGGCGGCCCCACCTCCACCTGCGCTCTGTTCCCGGCCAGCTGCCGTTGGCCAGGCCTCCACCTTGTGGTCAGAGGAAAGGTGTTTGCCACAAACTGTTTTTATTATTCAAAAGCTTTGCAGATGTTGTGTATGAATCTTTGCGACCCCATAGACTATAGCTCATCAGGCTCCTCTGTCCATGGGATTTTCCAGGCAAGAATACTGGAGTAAGTTGCCATTCCCTTCTCCAGAGGATCTTGGCCACCCTGGGACTGAACCCCTGCCTCTTGTGTAGGCAGGCAGGCTCTGCACTGAGCCACCAGGGAAGGCCCTGCAGACGGACACTGACTCAAAACGAGGTGAAGTCGAGTTTGTGTTCGGCCGGCTTTCTGGCAAGTTGGAGTGTTTCTCTTTGGTTCGCTGCTGTGGTCAGTGGAAGATTATATATTAGTCTATCATTGATCAAACAAAAAATCAAAAGCCGAGTAATCCAGTGCATGTAAATGCATTTATTTGGATTGAGGACGTCTTCCAAGACGGTGTCCACAGAGCAGAGCCTGCCCTGGGGGCCGCACTGGCTCCTGCCGGCTGGGCCTCTGCGCGTCCTGCCTGCCACTCAGTGCTCCCCCGAGGGCCCCGGCCGCCACAGCCGATTCTCCTTGGCAGCTCTGTCCTCACCCCAGGAAGCCCCTCCTCAGGGCTGGGTGCAGGGCTGTGACTACGGAGCCTCAGGTTGGGCCTGCCCCCGGCCGACCTCCCCACAAGGCCTTCGAAACTCATGGCTTGCCTGCTCCAAGCCAATGAGGACGAGTGAGTCAGTGAGGCCTTGACGGTTCGGGGCTCTGTGCTGGCGCCTGCTGGGCTGGGTCCACGCCCTGTGCTGGGGGGGGGGCGGGGCGGCGGGCATCAGGGAGCACCACATCCGTCCCCGGGCCGCCGCCTCTCTCTGTGGGGCTGTGCCGGGTGGGTGGGCGGGTGAGAGCGGCTCTGAGGTGGGGGTGTGAGCCTCCGGCCCCTCGGCAGGCTCCTCGTGGACCCTTTACTCCTTCCTCTGGATGAGTAATACATGCGCATGTCCCGACGGCACGCATCTTTCTGACAGTCCCCTTCCCCGCCCCTCTTGCCGAGGCCCCACACCCTGGCTGGTCAGGACTGGGGTGCTTTGCTCCTGCCTCACTCCAGCGTCTCTTCTGCACCAACAACCTGCCTGTGCTCACAGCCCGGGTCCATGAAGGGCGCCCTGTGGTTTCTGCAGGACGGTGGCACTCTTCCCACCATGGAGCTGGACCATCGCTTCACTTCCGCCCTCCGGACACTTGTGTTGCTTCAGGATTTGCTCTTGCGCGCGGGCTGCCATTTGTGCCCTTGGACGCGGGTCCTCCGCGCCACGTGTCGTGCATCCTCCTGGTCCCTTTTCCAGGAGTGGAGCTGCCATGGGCAGCAGGCGGGATCGGACTCGCAGCCTCTCGGGTGACCACTCAGCTTGCTTGTCCCGGCAGAGCAGGGCTTTAGCGCCTTGTTGGGGGGGGGTGGGGCGCTGTCCCCGCCCCGCCCCTGCTGAGTCCTCAGAGCCGCCCTAAGCGTGCAGAGCTCGGGCAGGACGCCGGACCCATGCCGGCGAGTGGTGCTTCCTGGGCCGGGGTCTCCTGGACCCACATTCACGCTCCTTCCCCTCCTTCCCAGGCTGGGTGCGGGGCCTGGCCTTCCTCCCCCATCTTCTCTCATCCTCTGCCTGGGTCCCCTCTGCTTGTGAACTCAGAGACGGGGGCCTCCGGTGACTTCTGGCTTCGCTATTTCTAGTGTTCAGGGCACAGGCTCTGTAGCCGTGACCAAGCCCATGGAGTGGACACAGCAGCAGATGGTGCATGGTGTGAGTGCCACCAAGAACTGGCCGCGGCCCCTTCAGGGGACGGGTGAGGCATCCCGGGGCCGCCTCGTGGGTGGAGGCACTGCAGTCCGTGTGGAAGTGGGGGGATGGTGTAGGCCGGGGAGCTGGTGTGTGGCAATGACGGGGCCACGTGGCTGCACGTGGCTTACAGAGGAGAGGTGTGTACAGGCCGAGAGGGTGATGCCCACAGCACTGGGGGACAGGGGACAGGAGACAGGGCTTTCTTGGGCTCCAGGAGGAGGTACAATCTGGCTTTTATTAATACATCACCTGGAGAGCTTGTTGTTGCGAGAAGCGTGGACCGCAGAGTCAGGGCTGGAGGCCAGGGGATGAGGTTCCGGCCGTGATGGCCAGGCAGCTGAGACCTGCTGGAGGCCAGCTGCGGAGGGAGCCTGTGCTTTCCCACAGTGACTCCAAGGCCATCTGGCTTCACACCGGGCCTGTCCCCCCAACAGCACCGTGGAAACGGGCATCTCCTGCCACAGACGCTCGCTGTGGACAAGAAGCATGCGGCCCGGATGGCTGTTGGCAGCCCCTCCACGAGGGACAGTGCGGACAGCACGTGTGAGTGGGGCCCCCAACCCAGCCATGCAGACACCCGCCCCGCCCCCAGTGTCAACAGCTGTTCGGTTCCTACATATGAAGCTTCCTGGGTGATACACTAATGGCATCTGCAAGCCCCAGTTTGAGACACATATGCCCTAGTAGAGGACAGCAGATGAGTTCCTGGGCCTGAATGACAGAACGGTAGCCGATTTGGAGAAGTGGTTTCAAGAATTCTGTAGGAGCTGGAAATACATGAAGTGGGGACACGCAGAAAATCCACATTTCAGTTGATGCCGTCGTCTGTCACTGCGTCCGTGTCCTAAGGCAGGCCGCCATGAGTGCGGGGCAGTTCCACGGTGGAGGAAGAGAAATGGCTCGAGGGGCCCTCTGTGTGTCCTGAGCCCCGCCTGGCCTAAGACCACCAGGCTCAACATGGTGGGGTATGCAGCCTCCCTGCCTCGGCACCTCGTTGCACCTCAGCTGACTTCTGCCCGAGTCCGCCTGCTCCATCGTCTAAACGAACAGTGAGGACAGGCCCGGGTCCACCCACTCCATCATCTAAACTAACAGTGAGGACAGGCCTGGGTCCGCCTGCTCCATCATCTGAACAGAACAGTGAGGACAGGCCCGGGTCCGCCCACTCCATCATCTAAACTAACAGTGAGGACAGTCCTGGGTTCACCCGCTCCATCGTCTAAACAGAACAGTGAGGACAGGCCCGGGTCCGCCTGCTCCGTCATCTAAACTAACAGTGAGGACAGGCCCGGGTCCCCCTGCTCTATCATCTGAACAGAACAGTGAGGACAGGCCCAGGTCCGACCGCTCCATCATCTAAACAGAACAGTGAGGACAGGCCCGGGTCCGCCTGCTCCGTCATCTAAACTAAGTGAGGACAGGCCTGGGTCTGCCTGTTCCATCATCTAAACAGAACAGTGAGGACAGGCCCGGGTCCGCCCGCTCCGTCATCTAAACTAACAGTGAGGACAGGCCTGGGTCCGCCTGCTCCATCATCTGAACAGAACAGTGAGGACAGGCCCGAGGGCCCTGGCCAGTCTTGGGCAGGGACTAGAGCTTGGCACCTTAGTACCTGCCGTCAGATGAAGCTGCCAGGGACATGAGGGGTTGTGAAGACCCATGTGAATCTGTGCGATCATCACGTGATTGTCTATTATCGTATCAGACATTTGGCACATAGCAGGTGGTCACCAAGTACTTGTTGAATATGCAGTGTTGCGCCACAGTATTCTGATCAGCCATGTCAGCCACAGAGTGAAAGCCGCAAGCACCACTCACAGAAGGGTGATGGCCTTATCCCCGCAACACATTAAGACATCTGAAACCTAGAATCCTGGAAGCATGGCGGTCACCAAATGGTCTCTAAAGCTCCTTTAGACACATGTCCATCCTGTGTCCTGAGTGATGCTGGTAGGTTGGCAAAATAAAGGACGACTCTTCCAAATATCGTTAACAGTCCTTCTGAACAGCTCTCTGGCCAGTTTGCTCCCAGGCACACATTCAGGATAAATGCATATTCAACATTAAATGACTATTTATTTTTCAGGCTTAAAAGTTTTAAAATCAATATGCACAAGGTAAATAACTCTCCGAGAATCAATGTAGAGCAGAACACATAAATATACAAGGTCTGTTTCACAGGATACAAAAATCACATCATCAAGTACAAAGAAAACATTCCTGAAATGTAGGCAAATTGGACCATCCCGGCAAAAACAGGCCAGGACAATCCCTAAACGTCAGGGCAAAACCTCTTTCCACCACTGCTCAGCTGCCCAGCTTTCCTCTTCTGTGCGGCGCTGGGTCCCTCTGAGCCACCCGCCTCGGGGGCGCTGCCAGGCGTCCCTTCCTCGTCTACCTGATAAGGAGCAGATGGGAAAGCACAGCACAGTTCACACCAAACACAGTTCACACTGAACATCTCCTGGGTTCACACCAAATATGCTTCACACCAAACACAGTTCACACTGAACTTCTGGGTTCATACCAAACATGGTTCACACTGAGCATCCCCCGGATTCACACTGAACACGGTTCACACCGAACTTCTCCGAGGCTCACACCAAGCACGGTTCACAACAAACGTTCTCCTGGGGCCTCATTGCCTCCTCCTGGACATTCTCTCCAAAGCAGCTCCCATCCCCCGTGCCATTTATCCGCTAATTCTTCTCCCTACTGACACTAACGGCTACATGACCCCGTCTCGAGGAGGGGACAGCTCAGCAGACCCACGTGTGCTGATCATCGTCTCTGCTCCTGAAGTGTCTCCTTTGTTAAGTGAGGGAACTATCGATGTAAACCGGGGGCATGGCTCCTCCCTCCCTCCATGTCCACTTCCTCCCCTCCCACACCCCTGCCCCTCCCCGAGTCCTGCGGAGAGACCCCAGTTGTCTGGCGGTCCTCAGTGGATGGCGGCTCCCAGAAACCCTCGCTCCCACTGGCTGAGCTATCTGCTGAATAAGGAAGGTTGCAGGAGAAGATCAACCAGCCACCCTTGGGTACAGCGCGGACTCAGCGCATCTAATAAACGCCTGTATGTATACAGACACATTCACACGCAACAGACAAGAGGCAGGAGCAAAGTCAGAGCTGCCAGACATCCCACCTTCTGCCGCGCATGCTTCTCTGTCCACTGCATGGCGTTCTTGAGGAAGACTGGCTTATTGTATTTAAACTCTGAGGACTAAGACGGAAGCAGAGAGTCAACGGAGAGAGAAGAGACTTGTCAGCTGCAGCCGCCACGCAACCCTCCTGAACAGTGAGCGGGACATGGGGAAAGTGGGCCGGGCACTTACGATGTCAGCCATGAGCGGGTCATCCGGGTTGGGCTCGGCCATGAGCTGCTGAACAGAAGTCAGCAGGGTTGCGATGTTGAGGGACGGTCTCCAGGCACCCTATACAGACAGACAGATGGACAGCCAGGTAGCGGCTCTAAGAATGTGCTTCTCCAATCACATGAGGCTAGAGGGTCGACCTTGTCCCCGCCACTCACTTTTGGTGGCAACTTGAGAACATCTAGACAAATCCGTCCAGCAGAGTCGATGTTGGGGTGATAGATTGGAGTCAGAAATCGGATCTGAGGAGGTTCAAATGGGTACCTTTGACAGCACAGGAGGACAGGGAAAGTTTCACTAGAATATTGCTTCTGACATTATAAATAGCTGCTGACGACTAATTAGGACAGCAACCTTTGAGAGACAAACCTTTGTTCTCCTCCAGTTTTTATGATGAAAATTTACAGTACTGAGAACTCTTTTATCCACCACCTGGATCAAGTCCCTAGCCCTTCAAATACTTTGGCATGATCTCCTAAGAATAAGGTCCCTCTCCTACAGAGCTGCAAAACTATCAGTACACCCATGAAAAAAATACAAAAATTATTCGTCAGTCTCATCTACCACCCAGATTTCCTCAGTCTTGGCTGCAGTTTTGTAAAGATGGATTTTGAAAAACAGGGTTCAATTCTGATTTACACACACCTGGTAACTCTCTCCCTGTGAGACACACATCTTGAAAAACCCCTGTGTGTCTCAGAACTGACATCCCTGGGTTTACTGACCTACTTCTCTCGGGACTTGTAACAAACCTGGCCTGTGAACAGGTGTCTACAAACCACAAACTACAACCATCGCCCCCTGATGAGCATCTTAGAGCAGACCCGGATGGACAGGGGCCTTTACACAGGCAGAGGGAATGGGGCCCACCAGGGAGGAGGGGGCAGAGAGCTGGTGTCACGGGGCTGTGGGGCACTAGTTTGGGAAGATGAAAAAGTTCTAGAGGTGGATGGGGTGGGGTGGCTGGATGACAATGTGAATGCATCTGATGCCCCAAAACCATACACTTGAACAGGGTTAAAATGGTCAGTTTGTGTGTGTGTTACTGCAATGGTGTGTGTGAGTTACAATGGTGTGTGTGTGTTACTGCAATGACATGTGTGTGCTACTGCAATGGTATGTGTGTGTTACCACACTGACGTGTGTTATCACAATGGTATGTGGGTGTTACCACAGTTATGTGTGTGTGACCACAATGTTATGTGTGTGTTACTGCAATGGTAAACCTGCGGTGGGGGGGGGGGGTGGTATTAGATGTGATCTAGCCCAGTTTTAAGAGAAAGAGATTGAACTCCAAAGATAATGTGCTAGAGGTCACAGGAAGTCCTGATAAGATGAGGACTAAGATCCAGGTCCTGTAAGTCCTCTGTTCAACACTATACCACACTGCTATCTTCCAGTAACTGGTTTGGCGTGGAAATGTAAATATAATTCACACTGACCTCTCTGGAATGTGAACTTCCAGCTTGAAAACACCTTTTTCATAAGGTGTGTTGGCTCCACCTAGTATCTCTTGAAAGAAGAAGAAAAAGAGGTAATCGGGTGACCTCAGCAGCACACCACCTGGTCCTGACGGAGATGCTCGGTCTGGGACAGGCTCTCAGGGCTTGACAAGCCCCCATGCAAGGCACCAGCCTACCCAAGGCTGGTGTCAACACGGACTACGTGGGAGATCTGGCCACAGACCACAGACACCTGCAGCTCTGCTGGGGGGGCTGGCTCTGTTCTGATCACATGCTGCCTGGTCTGGCCTCATGGATACGTAAAGGTGACACATCTGTGGCGCTGAACTGCTTCAGAGCTGATGCCCAGGTCTTGGACATAAATCAGCAAGAGGTGGGGTAAAAGGCCAAAGAAAAACGTCATGGAGACCTTTTATAAATGTAACAAATGAGGCAGGCAGATGCACTCATGCCCTAATTCAGAGGAACACACAGTATTCACATCTCAGCACAACTTGACAGGGTTGAGACCCGCACGCCTGGGGTGACACCTACGCGCACGCAGGTCTTCCATCCGGTCCCCGTTCTGCCAGCACGTGATGCCTGGGGGTGGCTCCGCGGCCAGCAGGCTCAGCTCTCGCTTCAGGCGCGATGTTCTCTGCATGACCTCACGTAGAAGTGGCCAGTTCACACTGGCTGGGATCCTGGGGAGAAGGGGGGCGCCCGCAAAAGGGTCAGCAGCAGTGAATTCTTAGTACCAGTTTCAATTCACTGAAGGACAGAGACAGCCCTCGTGTTACTTGCTATTCTGAGAAGGGAGTCTTGAGTTTTTTCCATTTCTCTCCTGCTATCTATTCAAGCAAACACATTTTAAAAATAAAGTATAAAACAATGAAAAGTTTCTACAAACAAAACACTAAAGTTCTAAAGTGAAGTCGCTCAGTCGTGTCCGACTCTTTCCGGCCCCATGGACTGTAGCCCACCAGGCTCCTCCATCCATGGGATTTTCCAGGCAAGAATATTGGAGCGGGTTGCCATTTCCTTCTCCAGGGCATCTTCCTGATGCAGGGATTGAACCTGGGTCTCCTGCATTGCAGGCAGATGCTTTACCCTCTAAGCCTCCAGGGAAGTCCACAAACAAAACACTACATGCTTTAAATTAATGTGTATCTCCACTGATAAGTCACTAACTCCTGAGGCATTAGTTAGTGTGGGTCTAGTTTTGCTCCCCACGCGTCCTCAGGGGCCAAGTAGAGAAGCTGATGGTCAAGCACCAGTTTGGGCGGGGTGGGGGGGTGGGGGGGGCAGTGGGCACAGATCAAGCATAGAGACCTGGGGACAGGCAGTGTTCCAACCAGAGGTTTATAAACACTGCTTCAAGGCCTGAGGTTTTCTCCATGTGATTTGGAATGCACACATTTCTCAGCTCTTCAGAGCTTCCACTCCATCAATTTCTTCTTTCTCTGGTGTCTCCAATCTTCTTTTCTTCTGCCCATCAACAAATATACTCAAAGTCTCATTGCTCATCTAAAAGAAGCCCCCCCCCCCCGCCCCCCCAGCCCACTTCTCTGGCCGTCTCCCTCCATGGGTGAGTCACGAACACTGCCTCTCAGTCTGCCACCATCTCTGCACTTCATTCATGGCATTTTTGACAAACACATCTCTTACACTTACACTTTTGTATATTAAAATTTCCTTAACCCCAAATTTAGATATTTTCACATTTAAGTCTTTGATCCACTAGTAATCAATCTGTGTGTATACTGTGAGTAGGGGTCCAAGTCTGAGTTTCTCCCCTCATATGAAAAACCAATTGTCCTAGTCCCATTTATTGAAAAGTCCATCTTTTCCCTGGTGACGTCATATTAAATATGTTCCATTGGTCAACTGGTACAAGTACCCCTCTGCTTTGTTGTTCAGTTGCTAAGTTGCATCCAACTCTTTATATATAAACATATATATAAAGCAAGAAGGACTTAATTTATAGCACAGGTAAGTATATTCAGTATCTTGTATTAATCTATTATGAGAAATATATATATATATATATGCACATACATGTATAACTGAACCGCTTTGCTGTACACCAGAAACTAATACAGAATTGTATATTTCAATAAAAAAGAAAACAATTTACAATAACATCAACACAAATATTTAGGAGTAAATTCAACAAAAAGTACAAACTCTATACTTCGAAAACCATAAAACATTGTTGAAAGAAATTAAAGACTAAATAGATGGAAAGACATCTCATATCCATGGATTTTTAAGATGGCAACACTCCGCAAACTGACCTGTAGATTCAACAGGACCCTATCAAAACTCCCAGTGTCCTCTCTCTCTCTCTTTTTTATTTTTGCAGAAATTGACAGATCCTAAAAATGCATATGGAAGTGCAAGGGAGCCAGAATAGTCAAAAGAATCATGAAAAAGAGGAACAGAGTTGGAGGACTCATTTTCTGATTTCAAACTTGTGTCTACATCACGACAGTTGCCAAGACTGGATGGTCCTGGCGTAAAGATAGACAGGTCAAATGATAGAACTGAGAGTCCAGAAACGCACTCACACATGTGTGCTGCGTGCTAAGTCACTTCAGTCCTGTCTGACTCTGTGACCCCATGGACTGTAGCCCACCAGGCTCCTCTGTCCATGGGATTCTCCAGGCAAGAATACTGGAGTGCGTTGTCATGCCCTCCTCCAGAGGGTCTTCCTGACCCAGAGATGATGGGAACCTGCATCTCCTGAATTGGCAGGCGGATTCTTTACCACTGAGCCACCAAGGAAGTCCCAGAATCAGCAATACTACAGGCAAATTAGTATGTTAAACAGAATTAATTTAACACTACAACAGACATTCAGTAAATTATTCCAAATTTCTTTATCCACATCTTTAGGACCATCATCTCTGGGATCCAGTTATTTTACTAGGTCATTAACTATTTTTATATACTGTGGCGCTCCTAGTAAAGAATCCTCTTGCCAATCCAGGAGTCCCAAGAGACGCTGCTCGGCTCCGCGGGCTGGGAAGATGCCCTGGAGGAGGGCATGGCAACCCACTCCAGTATTCTTGCCTGGAGAATCCCATGGACAGAGGAGCCTGGCGGGCTACAGTCCATGGGGTCGCAAAGAATCAGACACGGTTGAGCGACTGAGCACCGTTTATACACTGACCCTTACTGCTTTCCTCAGTAAGCAGGTACTGGGAATCAGGAACAATAAAACAAATACACGCAATTAATAAAACGTCGGATGGGCGGCTGGGGCGGTTGTGGGACGCCGGCCGGGCCGGGGCAGAGCGCCAACCGCGTTGCCAAGACATGCAGAGCGTCCGTTCTACAACCGATAGTCGGAGAAGAGGAGGCTCCGCATTCAGGCAGAAAGAAAGCGCCCCCAGCCCCCCACACCGCCCGTGGACGCCCCCCACGGCCTCTCTCACCTGCACGGTTGCTCCTCGCAGTGCAACGGCCCGAGCAGCCGGCACCACGCCTGCGCGAGCCCGGCCGCTGCCTTGCCCCGCCTTCCCCCCGGGAGGCTGTGATTGGTCCGGGCGGGCCCCGCCCACGCGCTTTGAACGCGAGCGCGGCTTGCTGGGACGGTTTCGACTTTGGCTTGCTGCGTCCCGGGAGGAGGCGAGCTGGGAGGATCCGAGAGGGTCTGTGTGGGAGCGGATTGCCGTCCTGGTGTTCGCGCGGAGGGGCTGCCGCCTCAGGACCGTCAGACCTGAGAGCCCGAGGAACCGGACGTTCGGAGCCGGGCTCCGACTGGGGGCGCGCTAGGGGCGCGCCCGCCACGCCTCCGACTCGGCCGCGGGAGGAGCGGCCGGTTCGCCTGAACCCGCGGGCGGTCCAGTCGGGACTTTTGCTTCCGGCCCAGACCGGCGTTAAGTAGCCCTGGTTCCTGGTGGCCGCAGCTTGGGCGTCCTCTCGGCCCCGCAGGCCCGCGGAGCTCTCGGGGCTTCCCGTGGGCTGCGGGAGCGGGCCCCGCCGGGAGCCACGAACCACACGGGAATCCCGTTCCTGTCCAGTCAGCTGTCGGTCCTCACTTACTGTCAGCACCCACTTACGGTGGGGACGTGTTTTCTGTCTTAACGCTGGAGTTGGCTGCCCATTTTACTACTGATACGTTCTATTTTGATCTCTTCGATATGGTTCCTTGTTTTCCACCTCAACTGTAATTGTGTCGCAATTGCTGTTCTGTCTTCGGAACTGAAATTAATTCCTTCCTCCGTTGGTTTTCTGAGAATGTGCTGTGCTTGTGCTGTGCTCAGTCGTGTCCGACTCTTGGCGACCCCGTGGACAGTAGCCCGGAGGGCGGTGTGGGGGGCTGGGGGCGCTTTCTTTCTGCCTGAATGCGGAGCCTCCTCTTCTCCGACTATCGGTTGTAGAACGGACGCTCTGCATGTCTTGGCAACGCGGTTGGCGCTCTGCCCCGGCCCGGCCGGCGTCCCACAACCGCCCCAGCCGCCCATCCGACGTTTTATTAATTGCGTGTATTTGTTTTATTGTTCCTGATTCCCAGTACCTGCTTACTGAGGAAAGCAGTAAGGGTCAGTGTATAAACGGTGCTCAGTCGCTCAACCGTGTCTGACTCTTTGCGACCCCATGGACTGTAGCCCGCCAGGCTCCTCTGTCCGTGGGATTCTCCAGGCAAGAATACTGGAGTGCGTAGCCACTTCCTTCTCCAGAGTATCTTCCCAACCCAGGGATCGAACCCAGGTCTCCCGTATTGCGGGCTGATTCTTTACTAGCTGAGCTACCAGGGAAGCCCAAGAATACTGGAGTGGGTAGCCTGTCCCTTCTCCAGGGGATCTTCCCGACCCAGAAATTGAACTGGGTTCTCCTGCATGGCAGGCGGATTCTTTACCAGCTGAGCTACCAGGGAAGCCTGGAAATCTTTAAAATGTCCTTTAGACGAGCCAGGCATTATGCTAACTCTGGTGGAAAGGAGAGATGGTATGATAAAACAAGCAAAGACCTGTAGTTTTGGGAACCAAACACAAAAAACGGGATAACAGGGAAAAGAAAAAAAGCTCCATGGGCTAAATGTACAGTCCCTATTTGTCCACCAGAGGGAGGTATGTTAACTGGCGAGAACAGAGGCCATGCTGAAAAATTTTCATGACCTGTACAGGTGTCATTGCTTTAAAAAATGGAGTATGGACTTCCCAGGTGGGCCAATGGTAAGGATTCCACCTGCCAGTTCAGGAAATGCAAGAGATTTGCGTTGGATCCCTGAGTGGGAAGATCCCCTGGAGTAGGAAATGGCTACCCACTCCAGTATTCTTACCTGGAAATTTCCATGGACAGAGGAGCCTGGAGGGCTGCAGTCCATGGGGTCATAGAGTCGGACAAAAGTGAGCGCATGCACTCACGCGCGCGCACACACACACACACTAATTTGTAGTTTACTTTTTAAACTACTGATACTTTCTATTTTGATCTCTTCGATATGGGAAGATGATTTTTTTTTTTTTTAGATATACCACTTTATTGCTACCAACCCATCTCCCTCCACCCTCGTGCACACATGCTCAGTCATGTAATCCCATGAACTTCAGCCTGCCAGACACCTCTGTCCATGGACTTTTCCAGGCAAGAAAACTGGAGTGGGTTGCCATTTCCTTCTCCAGGGAAGATGATTTTTTAATAAAAGTTTCATGATGTATGTGCAATATAACTGGCACACTCAGTACATTTAAAAGTACAGAATTGTGATCGTTGGTAATGTCACTATGTTGTGCTCCAGGAACTGATGTAGTTTATAGCTTAATTATACTTCAACAAACAAAAAATCTTTATAGATAAAGAGAAGAACAGATCTGTAGTTACCAGATCTGGGGGAATTGGAGGAAGGTGGTCAAGAGGTACCAATTCCAGTTATCAGATAAGTAATTACAATCCATGGGGTCACAAAGAGTCGACACGACTGACTGACTAAGCGCTGCCTGCGTGCGCGCACGTGCGCGCACACACACATGCATGGATATAATGTCCAAGATGATAAATAGAATTAACACTGCCCTATGTTATATATGAAAGTTAAGAGTAAATCTTGGGAGTTCTCATCACAAAATATATATTGTTTTATTTTGTATCAGTATTGTGATGACCCAAGCTTACTTGTGGTCATTATCTTATGATATATATGTCAAGTCATTATGCTGCACACTTTAAACTTATACATGCTGAATGTCAATTATATCTCAATAAAACTGGGAGAAAAAACAAGAATTATGTTTTACTTATACAGGACTGTCAGTCCTGTTGTTCACTTGTATATAAAATATCAGTATTATTTTCTTTACCATATTTAGGAAATATAGACTATCATGTTTGTTTAATTTAGTAAACAATTGTATAAGTTTATTGTGTAAGTTTATTTTCAGAGTTTGAGCAAGCTCCGGGAGTTGGTGATGGACAGGGAGGCCTGGCATGCCGCAGTCCATGCGGTCGCAGAGTCGGGCACAACTGAGCAACTGAACTGAACTTTCAGAGAGCCTCTGTTGGGGGAAGATGTTTCAGGGAAAAACTCAGATGACTTTAATTTTGAAAAACTTTTCAAGTCATACACAGATTGTTGATTCCTACTATAAACTGCAAGGATCCTTTCCAGGGTCTTTTCAGGGCTCCTTGTTAATGCGTTCTAAGTTACAACGTTAATAAAACTCTGGATTTACAAGCAGGGCAGGGTTTCGAGAATTTCGAGTACTTTCAGTCCAGTTTTTCTCAATAGAAAGCAAGAATAATTACCGACTTTTTCCACTTCAAAAGACAGACGTTATAATTAGGGAGCCGAGATTAGCTGCAAGTCAGAACAAGAATAAACCACGGCTTTCAACAAGCGCTCGGAGGTGACTCGGGCCGCGGACAGCTCCCGCCTTCGGGCCAGAGGTGACCCCGCGCGTCTGCGGCCAGGCTGAGCGCCTCCGGACCCCGCCTCTTTCCGGATGCATCCAGGGAATTGAAGTTCCGGTCGGTCCCGGGCGCGCCCGGAGTGGTGGGGCGCGCGAGGGGCTCCCACTACAAGTCCCGTGATGCCTCGGGGCGCCGCCCGCGCCTGCGTGCTGAGGCCGCGGGGGCGAGCGGGCGGCGGAACAGTAAAGATGGCTGCGCGCGGGACTCCGCCCTCCGCTCCCGGCTGAGGCGCTCGGCAGCGGCGGCAGCCCGGGGCAGCGGCGGCAATGGCCGAGCTGGAGCACTTGGGCGGGAAGCGGGCCGAATCGGCGCGGGCGCGGCGGGCCGAGCAGCTGCGGCGCTGGCGGGGCTCGCCGACTGAGCAGGAGCCCGCCGACCGGCCGGGTGCGGGGCCGCAGGCTCGGCGCGGGGGCTCGCGGGTCCGCTTCGAGGACGGCGCCGTGTTCCTGGCCGCCTGCTCCAGCGGGGACACCGACGAAGTGAGGCGGCTCCTGGCCCGGGGCGCCGACGTGGACACGGCCAACGTGGACGGCCTGACCGCCCTGCACCAGGTGAGCGCGCGGGGCGGGTGGTCGAGCCGGGGTTCGCGCCGCCCGGTGCGCGCGATGTCCCCCAGTGCGCGCCCGCGCCGCCCGCCCGATGCCCTCGCGGAAGCCGGCTGTCCGTGCTCCCGAGAGCAGGAATGGGTCCGCGCCGCGTCCTCGGGTTTGCGAAGGTCCGGGGTCGGCTTCATAACCCCTGGCGCAGCTCGCGGCCGCGCGCGACCTCAGGCTCTCCCCGCCGCGTCAGGCGCGCCGACGGAGAGGCCACCTGCGGGGTCCCCTGGCTTGATGGTCCGGGGGAGCCTGTCTTCCCGCGCCCCGACAGCCCCGCGGGAATGACACGCCCCAGGCCGGGCCGCAGCCCGTGGACCACCGTGTGTGCTCGGTACCAGCACCTTCGCTGCGCCCATTTTATGCCCCCGTGTTCTGAGTCACTGTCAGGATTAACTCCACCCTCCCTCTCCACGTGGAACTTCATCAGTTATTTCAGGGGGCCGGGAGTTGGACACCCACTCTTAATCCTTTTTGATTTCCGTCTTTTGCTGTCTGTGCAAGTGGATGCGTTGGCATGAGAATGCACTTCTAAATAATAATTCAAGCTTGCGTCATGCCACTTCTTTGAACAAACTAGCCAGGAGCTTAAAGTGCGTCCTCACCATGTTTCCAGTCCTTTCTTTCAGATGAAAGGACCTTCTCTTTACCCTGCTTGTATCCGCGTTTTCACACTCAGAACAGTGCCCCACCTCAGAGAGCAACCAGTTCAGTTCAGTCGCTCAGTCGTGTCTGATTCTTTACGACCCCATGGACTGCAGCAGGCCAGGCCTCCCTGTCCATCACCAACTCCCAGAGTTTACTCAGACTCATGTCCATCGAGTTGGTGATGCTATCCAACCGTCTTATCCTCTGTCATCCCCTTCTCTTCCTGCCTTCAATCTTTCCCAGCATCAGGGTCTTTTCACATGAGTCAGTTCTTCACATCAGGTGGCCAAAGTATTGGAGTTTCAGCTTTAGTATCAGTCCTTGCAATGAATATTCAGGAGTGATTTCCTTTAGGATGGACTGGTTGGATCTCCTTGCAGTCCAAGGGACTCTCGAGTCTTCTCCAACACCACAGTTCAGAAGCATCAATTCTTTGGGGCTCGGCTTTCTTTATAGTCCAACTCTCACATCCATACATGACTCCTGAAAGAGCCATAGCTTTGACTAGATAGACCTTTGTTGACAAAGTAATGTCTGTGCTTTCTAATATGCTGTCTAGGTTGGTCATAGCTTTTCTTGCAAGGAGCAAGTGTCTTAATTTCATGGCTGCAGTCACCATCTGCAGTGATTTTGGAGCCCAAAAAACATTTATATAATTCTTTGCTGTTTAAAAATTATTTTATGTTTCACTGCATGTGAATCTCAGCAGTGAACCTTTGAGGTAGGTGTTTGTTATTGATATAATAACCATTTTATAGGTGATGAATCTGAAGCTCAGAAAATTGTTGCTTGTATAGGATTAGAAGAGAGAGAGAAATTGCCTTTAGGGGTGGATTTTTTCAGATATAAACTCGAGCTTTATATTTCATCTAGTAGGGAGCTGAATATGTATAAGATGGATGCTAAGAGGGCCACGTGCATTTTAAATTTCTGAGCTCTTTGAGAGGGTGCGTTTTTAAAAAAACCACTTGAAGGTATCCTAGAGGATAGAGAAATAGAAAGCCATTTCTAGCGCACATGTTCTTTATTGAGGCAGTTTTCTGAGTATAACTCAGGCTCTGTTTCTTTTAAGGTGCCTCTGCCAGCTGAGTCCAGCCCTGACCACACGCATTTTAACAGCGCCCTGAGACAAGCAGCCAGTGTGAGGACCCTCCTGGTAGTTCTTCTCACACCAGGAAACCACCCTTCTGACCCCTTCCCCTGAGACTGGGCCTCTTGGAGTCTTTCTTTCCCTGTTAATTACCACCCTAGATTGTGACTTACAGCTTCTCTCAGTCACTGTGATCTTCACACTCAGTGATCTCCTAAACTAGGAGGGGGGGAGATGACAGCCAAGGAATTTTCTCTGAAACACCTGCAAATGCTTTTTGATATTGCTTCCTACTTACAGAGCTCGTGGTGGGTTGAGTTGACCAGGAGTACTCAATACTGGACAAATTTCAGCCACAGATTAAGCTGCTTGAAGATTTGAGGGGAAACAAACAAATCATCTCTTTGTTTTGAATCAAGACAGTGCCTTTATTGGCTCAGAAACTCTTTTCCTAGTCAGTTTCCACAGAGTTACAGTGTGTTTCTCCAAGGCCTGAAGAACTCTTAAGGTACCTGAAAGGGTGTTTTTGAAACGTGAGGCGGGAACTGTCAGTGGCTGAACGGCCATTAGGTGTCTGCGTGCCTGTCCTTCTGTGGAGCGGAGAGTGGTAGGCTCACCTGAATTACTTAGCTAAAATAGCCACTGGCCTGCAAGCGTGGTGTGAATTATCAGGATGATTGCTGCCGGCCACGTTCTGGCATGGCCTGTGGGCCAGCTGGGAGAAACCCCAGCAGACATGGCTGGATGATTCCTCTTCTCCCTCAAGGTTACAGTAGCCGTTTTGTGTTTCAGGGCGTGGTGCCTTAACCCTGCTTTTGACTTAGACCGTTCTTTCTTGGCAGCCTTTGCTTCTGCCAGGAGGTGCTTGAGTCAAAGATAAGTTCCAGGGGGCCTGCTAATAATGCTTGAAATAGATCCGGATAAGAAGTATCTCGAAGGTTAGCCCTGCTCTGGGAAAGCCTTGGAAACTGATGCATACCAACTAGACATGGGCAAATAAATTAAAATTTGGTGTGTATGCAGAGTCGTCAGTGAGAAGGGTGTTAACTGACTTACATAGCCCTTGGAAGAGTGTGCTTGCTCACAGAGGAATTCCCATTTCGTTTATGTGTCTGTATTGTTGGGCTTGAAGTGTGGGCTTATAATTTGGTATGGGCTGGTACTTTAAAAATTTTGTTTTTACTTGTTTATGTGGTAAGATTTTTTATTAGTGCCTGTCTCGTGTCCTTAGCGTTATGTTCTTGGGTCCTCTAGGGCTAGATACAGACTCATAGACCTGCGTCAGCCAAATTACTGGCCTGCTGAGAGGCAGCCATTTGCTTTTGGAAAGATTTTCTGGGCTTTGTCAAAATGGGTGCCTGCCCTTCCTCCAGAATTCATTCTGTTGGCGCTTGTGTCTGCGGATGTGGGGAGGACACTGATGCTGGTCCTCGTGGCTCTGTGCTCAAGACCAATCTTCATCTGGAGGATGCTGAGAAAGCTAGGAGGACGCTGTGCCTGATTCAAGTTCAGATTGGTTTCCTGGTGGTCTCAGAGTCCACATTTGAGCCTCGGGGTCTCCCCAGACTGGAATTCAACTCCTAGTGGCCTCAGTCATTCTAGAGCTGCCTCAGTCTGCTCCTGTGTCCTGAGCAGGGGAATGAAAAGGATCTGTTTCCCTGGAAGAGACTAGGTAGGGATAGGTGAGGGAAGGCAGGCAGGCAGAGCGGTTTCTGTTCAGCGAGACAGCAGACAAAGGTGAGAAGCCTTCACTTCAGTTCCAGATGATGTGTCTGTGCGCCGATTTGTGTACTAAAGTATAACATGTATTCCTTTTTAAATCGAGGTGTTTAAACACCTCAGAGAAGCCACCCGTGTTTTCATTTTTTACTTTATGGCTGTGCTGGGTCTTCATTGCTGTTCGGGCTTTCTCTAGCTGCAGCGAGCGGGCCCTAGTCTTCATCATGGTGGTGTCTCTTATGGGGCCCAGGCTCTGGGGTGCAGGTGTGGGCTCAGTAGTTGGGGCCCACAGGCTTAGTTGCCCTGCGGCTCGTGGAATCTTCCCAGAGCAGGGGTTAAGCCCGTGTTCCCTGCATCGGCAGGTGGATTCTTAACCACCGGACCACCAGGGAAGGCCTGTAAATGATATTTGACGTTGTATTAGTTTCGTATGCACAACTTCTGCTCCTAGTCATCGTACAGAGTTAGTTTTTTCCTTGTGATGAGAACTTTTAAGGTACACTTTTCTTGGCAACTGTCAAACTTCGGTTGCAGTATTTTTTACCATGATCACTATGCTGTGATTATATCCCCATGTCTTATTTTATAACTACGATAAAAGTTGTCTTCTTAACCTTTTCTCTTTTATTCCAACTTCATTATTTATTCCTCTTACAGTTCCATGTGTAAAGTGACTTACCCAGTGTGTTGGTGAATTCTGCTCGCTCTTAGGGACCAAGGCAATCTGGGAATAAGAGAGTCTGTTGGCGTTTTCATCACTGTGGTTCTGGAGCGTGCCTGCTGAGTCATTCTGGTCTGTGACCTCTCAGCTTGCTTCACAGGAGGCCACCTGGCCTTGCCTTCCCAGTCTTGTCTCCAGTCGTGATGCCATCGTGGACCTCAAAGCCAGATTTGAAGATGAGGCTTATTTTTATGGTGGTTTATTGGGAGGTGGGAGAGCTGGGGGAGTACTGACACAAGTTGTCTAACCACCACCTTTTATTTGCTCCTTAGCCAAATTTTTGTTCCGCCTACTTGAAGTCCGATAAAGGAGCTGTCTACTGTGATGTCGGCTTCAGAATCTTCTCTGTATTTTACAGTAGCCAAGCTGTCATTGTGTGTAGATGAAGCATAGTTCTGTTACAGGGAGAGGGTTGGACAGGTCTTGTGGGTAAGTTAAAATTAAGTCCTTGCTTATTTTCATCTTTACAGTGTACTTTAAAGTACACATGTTTATAGTCTGTGTGTAGGTGTGTGTTAAATAGACCTGAGTTATGACAGGTGCACGCTGTTGTTTAGCCCCCGCCTTCATCACGACCGGGAACACCTGTGGCCCCCCACCCCAGCCCTCCATCAGTGCTCCGGTCCGGGAATGCCGGGCCCAGCGGAGGCGCCCACGATGCGGGCCTTGTGAATTGGGCTGCGTTCGCTGGCTGTGCCGTGTGCAGAGTCCCCGGTGTTGTTGAGGTGTCAGCAGCACACTGGCCTTCGTGCTGAGAGGTCGCCCACCGTACAGACATAC